CCCAAAGAACCAAGAATAATAATTTTATTCTTTTATATTTTTATTATTTTATTGTTTCCCTTCTACGTGGTGGTGACTTTACCTAAAGAACCAAGAATAATAATCTAATTGTTTTACAATAATTTTATTGTTTTATATTTTTATTATTTTATTGTTTCCCTTCTACGTGGTGGTGACTTTACCTAAAGAACCAAGAATAATAATCTAATTGTTTTACAATAATTTTATTGTTTTATATTTTTATTATTTTATTGTTTCCCTTCTACGTGGTGACTTTACCCAAACAACCAAGAATAATAATTTTATTGTTTTACAATAATTGTATTGTTTCATATTTTTATTGTTTCCCTTCTACGTGGTGACTTTACCCAAAGAACCAAGAATAATAATTTTATTCTTTTATATTTTTATTATTTTATTGTTTCCCTTCTACGTGGTGACTTTTCCGGAAGAACCAAGAATAATAATTTTATTGTTTTACAATTATTTTATTTTTCTTCTTTGGTTCTTTCGGTAAAGTCACGTAGAATGAGAATAAATAATAAATTGATAAAATAAAATAACACAATAATATAACACAATAATATATTATTGTGTTATTTTATTTTATCAATTTATTATTTTATTCTCATTCTACGTGACTTTACCGAAAGAACCAAAGAAGATGAATCATTGCAGTCACGAAAGCTTTAAATCGAAAATTATTTTATTGTTTTATATTTTTTATTATTTAATCGTTTCCCTTCTACGTGGTGGTGGCGACTTTACCGGAAGAACCAAGAATATGAATCCCTGACTTTCACGAAAGCTTCAACTCAAAATAGCGTAAGAGTTTAAAAAAGAATACTAAAAAATATTTAAAAGAGACCCCTCAAACCTACATCCCCCGTCTCCGAACTGCGTCACTACACGTGCGCAGTGACAATTGTTCCGCTGTTTAATTGTCCCGTTTCAATTAAAACATCGTAATGAACGCACGCTGGAAGCAATTAATATCTCTTAAAGTTCTCATCCCTTACACAGAGGGGTTCATATCGTGACGGCATCACGTGGCAATGGCTCAATCGCGTGTTGTACTCGTACCACACGGTGAACATTCAACTTAAGCGTGACTCTGAAAAAAAAACACAATGTTTTAAATCGGAAATAAAATCGCAGTCTGTCAATTGGATATTTTACCCCCCCCCCAAATCGTTCAGCCCCTGTGCTACACTTTCAGCAGTGACACAGAGGAATCTCAGCCACGTAGCAGCAGCAGCAGCATAGCGCACCCTGCTGGCGGGTAAGGCGATGTGCGTCTTACGGCGGCCCTGAATGGCTGCAGGACCACGTGATGGGCCACAGCGGGGACCTGGGTGGGGAGGTAACGGAAGCGACGCGCCAGGAAGGTTCCAGAAAAGGGGGCGTGGCCGAGGGCGGAGCCAAGCCACGCCCACGGTATCGGAGGCGCGCGGGCGAGGTTGTTTGTAGTGGGGATTCACCCCGTCCCCACCTAACCCCCCCCCGCCCCGCCCACCGGTCTTTCTTCTCGGCCTGGCGATATCCGAGACGGTGATAAGAGTCAGGCGGTCTTACCCGCTGGCCCTGCCCTGGAACCGGAGTCGCCTATTGCGGCGGGCCCCAACATTAGTTTTGTTTCTGGTGCACCAGGAACAGCTTTCGCCGAAGGCAATTCGTTTTAAATTTTCGATTTAAAGCTTTCGTGACTGCAGGGATTCATCTCCTTTGGTTCTTTCGGTAAAGTCGCCGCCACCACCACCGCCGCCACCACCACCACCACCGCCACCACCGCCACGTAGAATGAGAATAAATTGACAAGATAAAACAACGCGATAATATTCCCGCGACGTTTCGGCCACAACACGAGCGGCCCTCGTCAGGTGAAGGGGGACGAGACCGTCTGGTAGGACAGCGCTGGAGTGAGAGAAAGCCACGCTGAGATCACGACCCTTCAAAAGCTGTGCGTAAAGAAAAACAACACAAAGCGCCTTGAAAAAAGGCGATTTGTGTTCTGTTCACGGACCGGGGCGGGGGCGACGTCCGTTACCCACACTCACAGCGGCCACCCGGAAGGGGGTGGGTGGGTGAGATGGGTGGGGTGGGTGGGGGTTAGCGCTTGTGGGCTTTATACCGGCACCACGTGACTGGGGCTGAGCGCGGTGACCTGGGGGGGGGGGGAAAAAGAAGCGCGGGCGGTCATGGCGGATAATGAAATAGCGGGCGGCCATGGCGGATAATGAAATAGCGGGCGGCCGTGGCGGATAATGAAATAGCGGGCGGCCGTGGCGGATAATGAAATAGCGGGCGGCCGTGGCGGATAATTAAATAGCGGGCGGCCGTGGCGGATAATTAAATAGCGGGCGGCCGTGGCGGATAATGAAATAGCGGGCGGCCGTGGCGGATAATGAAATAGCGGGCGGCCTTGGCGGATAATGAAATAGCGGGCGGCCGTGGCGGATAATGAAATAGCGGGCGGCCGTGGCGGATAATGAAATGGCGG